CCTCAGATTCCATGCCCTCTCTGAGATTCCTCAGCATGGGACGCACAACACATCCTCTGTTGAATTGCTGATGTGGCCGGCGGCCCGGCGTGCATTAGGGATAGAGCAGCAGAGAATATACTGACAAAAATTCAATGGCATCAGTCATTTAATTCAGCTTAGATGATTTATAAAAATTGTGATACGGCTTAGTAACATTATCAGATTGCTGCGATATAATAAAAAAAAAATAAGCGTGGCACAGTGTTCATTTACACGTGAGCAGTTCATGATCTGGTGTTTCAGCATCTCACAGTAAACTCTAGTTACTCCACGTAAACCCAATCTCTGCACGAGTTTGGGTCTCTTATAACATGCGTCTGAGAACACAATGAGGCTCAGCCATTTCAACAGATTCGAAATGAGAGACATTTATAAATCTGTTAACCACAAAGGAGAAGCTTCACTCGCTGTGGGTTTGTGCCAAAATAAAAGCTTGATGGTTTAACAAAAAAAAAAAAAAAAGAAGAAAGGCATAAATGTTACTATTGTATATTTATTCTGTAAAATAAAATATTTTTTTAGTAAATAAATAAAAAATAAAGTTTCGTAAAAAAAAGTCAATAGTATTATTACAACAGTAATAATATTTCTTGTAATAATGACAATTATTATTATTTTGTAGTCATATTGAATGTGACAAAAATTAGTGGGAATGTGGCCTATGATAACTCAAGTGGAGAGATTTTTTTTAACTGATATTTAGTGCATGTCAAAGCAACAGCAATATGGCATGTTAAATATGTTACATCACAGTTCAAATGGCAATCATAATTTTTTATCAGAAAAATCACACCAAAATTTCACCAGATCATTCAGCCCTAAAAGAATGGCTCCCTAAAAGTGAATGGATGGATAGACCAATGGACGATGCAGTTCTGTATATTAAACTGTAAGTGTGCAGTTTTGCCATCTGCCGCTTTAAATGCTTGAGCTCCTTAAAGATGTGTGGATTCTGATTGGCTGTCAATGTTTTTATCATTCTTTAGCTAGGAAAAAAAAATCCGAAAGTGATTCCAACGATATCATTCTTCTGTGTCGTTATTGTTATAGTTGTGTTATGGACTGACACGGAAGAGAAGAAATTGTTAAATTAAAAAGTCATTATTTTTGTTTTCTTTGCACACAAAAAGTATTCTTGTAGCTTCATAACATTACAGTTGAACCACTGACTATTTTAACGATGTCCTTACTATACCTTTCTGGGCCTTGAACGTGGTAGTTGTGTTGCTGTCTATGGAGGTTCAGAAAGCGCTCAGATTTCATCAAAAATATCTTAATTTGTGTTCTGAAGATGAATAATTAGGGTGAATAATCAATGATAGAAGTTTCATTTTTGGGTAAACTAACCCTTTAAAACGTTGTAGTTATAGTTAAGATTATAATTATCAACCTTGGTGTGAACAGGCCTTCATTCTTTCCAAACAGACCTATTTAAGTCAAAATTTCAAAATATATATCACAGAAAAACAAAATACGTAACATATAATTTTTTTCGATATCAGGGATATACATTATGTAACCAAATGTAGCAACATTTCACTGCTGTTTTGCATTTTAACCACATTTACACAATCCACTGTGTAAAGTCTGGTTGATTTATTCAAGTGGGCAGAATTATCAGATCATGTTGTGTTGTGATTTATTTATAGATTTCAGAGTGGAGGTTAAAATGTGTCTACAAAGCAGCAGAACTATGCATCAGGGCAGGTTACACCCCTCACAGACTGATTCGTCTACACAATGTCCACCCATCCTCAAAGTGCCGCCCAGGGCAGAGCGCCAGGCTGACGGCCCTGTGATGGAGCGTGTGAGTTGTGCTGTGGTTTAGGGTGGATGAAGGCGGGTGGTGTTCCGCATTGTTTCTGACAGTGGAAAGCAGGTGTGGTCCACAGGAAGTCCAGCTCTTCCTGCGCTTGAGCCCAACAGAGAGGAAATGCTGCTGTAGCGCTGTGTGTAAGAGTGAGAATGCTGGGATGGGAGGACGGCTCTGCGGTGGTGTTTTATGTGCTTACTTGTAATTTTTCATCCTGTTTTCACTCTTACCATTGCTTATATTTGCTGTCTGTCATATGAACAAATGGAAAAGTATGATGTTGCATAGACAGTCCCTCACAGCCTCGTTTTTGTTTGTTAAACTAAATATGACGCCTACCCTGACTTAGGTTTATTGTACCAACTAGGAAAGTGAAATTGTTTCCCCTTACGATTAAGGGTGTGATTGCAAAACTGCCTATGTTGAAATCTGTTTTTTTTTCATTGTAAGGTTCTCTAGGCTAAATATAATCAACGGCACATTAAACACAAATAGTAGTTTGAATCACTGTCCGAAAAACTATAAAAAGACCCAACTTGCTGAACAGAGCGGAAGGGTGTTATTTTCCTGGATGACAATGCACTGTACGTGTGCCGTGTGAGAACAGTGAGGGGCGGCTCATAATCAGGTGACCTCATCCTGTGCGCTGTCCACTTCCATCACATTCGGGACAAAGGGAAAACATCCTTTTGTCTGGGTCTATTCCTCTGTCCAGCAGCACACCCCAGCAGACAGGACTGGAGCCCTTCCCTTATGAAACCCTGATGAAAATGAAGTGCACTTAATTGTGTTGAATGTGCACTTAGGTTCATTCCCAGTCGTAACTGACAAGTCTACCTTATTTATTTATTTCAGATGTATATGTTTATTTAAAGGGGTCATATGATGCGATTTCAAGTTTTGGAGTGTTACAAGCTGTTCGTGAATAGATAAGATCCATAAAGTTGCAAAGACTAAAGTCTCAAACCCAAAGAGATATTCTTTATAAAAGTTAAGACTGGTCCACGCCCTCCTAAAACGCCTCGTTTAAACACACGTGTGGGGACATGTTTCATTACACCAAATACACAAAATAATGTTCTTTTTAGCAACATCATATGACCCCTTTAAAAAATGTTTATTTTTTTATTTTTTTCATCTTCCACTTACTGTTGTATAGCTGATTGTTTGTCTGTTTGCCTGTTGTTCTGTATGTTTAAAAGACAAGAAAATAGCAATAGAAATTTGATTAAAAATAATTAAATAAACTGTACTTGCAGATCTTGTAAAATAATGGATAAAAAGCCACTTAAGTGTACTTAAAAGGAAAATACTTTCATTACTTTTTGACACTTAAGTACCCTTTTAAAATCTTTAAAGTACATTTTAAATTCCTATGTTTTAATGATCTTTTGTAATGTAATAAAGACACATACACTTACTTTGATGTGTTGACTAACATTAAAGCTCATGTAAATTACCTGATTATAATTTTAAATGTAGTTATTCGATATTACATTTTCAGTTGATATATTTTAAATGCACTAAATTGCATCAATATTTTAATTACAAATATATGTGATATACAAATGTATATATAATAGAAATTATATTTTAGTTTACCATAAAGCTTGTTTGTACATTCGTCAGTACATTTAATCATATGATAACCATAAGACGATAGAAGTAATTATGAAATTACGGTAACACTTTGTAAAGACTAATTCTCACTATTAACTAGTTGCTTATTAGCATGCCTATTACTAACATATTGGCTGTTTATTAGTACTTATTCTGCACGACCATATTCTACATCCCTAATCTTACCCAACACCTAAATTTAACAACCTTACTAACTATTAATAAGCAGCATATAAGGAGTTTACTGAGGCAAAAGTCAGAATTAAACCTTAAAATAAAATGGGACCCATTTTTTTAATCCCATGCACCTGTGGTGTTATTTTGGTGGTCTGACAGGGGTTTGTAAAGCAGAATTCTATACAAAGTTCAAATGAGTCACTAACTATTAATAAGCAGCAAATTAGGAGTTTATTGAGGCAAAAGTCATAGTTAACGGTTGGTTAATGGCGAGAATTGGACCTTAAAAAAAGTGTGACCGAAATTCCATATGAAGATGTACTTAAGTCCTACTTAGGGTTGCTCAAAAAAATTATTTTATTTAATATAAATTTATACAATAATACATTTTTATTTTTGGTAACACTTTATTTTATTGTCTTCTTGTTACGTTACATGTACTTACTATTATAATAACAATAAATGATGCATAATTACATGCAAGTAACCCTAAGCCAAACCCTCATCCTAATCCTAACCATATAGTAAGTACATGTAGTTAATTAATATTACTCAGTACTTAAATGTATAAACGTTACATGTACTTACTATTATAATAACAATAAATGATGCATAATTACATGCAAGTAACCCTAAGCCAAACCCTCATCCTAATCCTAACCATATAGTAAGTACATGTAGTTAATTAATATTACTCAGTACTTAAATGTATAATTACACTGTAGCAAGGATACCTTAAAATAAAGTGTAACCTTATTTTTATTTGTATATAACATGCAATTAAGTGTCTGAAAACATTGCATTAAGTTCACATTTAAGTAAATTCTTTAAAGTATATTATTTCCAAATAAGTACACTTTTTTAAGTATGCTAAAGTGTTCTTTTTAAACAAAGGAAAGGTTCTCAGCTGAATGACAGTTACATGAAAATTAGGCATTAAGTGCTCTTTTTTATGTCTTTTATGTCTATAATTGTCGTCATTTGGATTTGGTCAGGGGACAATTGCATAACACAGACAATATGTTAACACTGTGTCTTAAGAACTAGTCTGACCAGTTAGCAGTTAGTCATGGAATAAGAGTCACTTTTCGTATTCAAATTAGACCGGTCTACCGTTTTATGTAACTGACTTTACAAAAAAAAACGGATGACCTGTAAGACTATACTAAGCAGTTTATGTAACCGGCCTCTTTAATAAGGCCTTCTCCGATTCTGCTCCTTAAGATACTATATAAGATGATATCCTTTAAGATGAAGGGCACAGACATTCAGACGCCAAACTTCCTGCATTCCAGTGGCATACGTTTGTGTTTCATTGTGCTGATGTTGTGTTGTGTCTGTCCTGCAGGACTTGAAGACCCAGCTCAGACCCCGGCTATGTGTCATTGAGAAAGGCCCCAATGGCTTCGGCTTTAACTTGCACAGTGAGAAGTCCAGATCCGGCCAGTTCATCAGAGCTATAGATGACGACTCGCCAGCACAGAGATCCGGCCTGAGGCCCAAAGACAGGATAATACAGGTACGATCGTTGCCATGCACTTTGGAATTTCATTATTAGGATACACATGGTGCTTTCTTTAGACTTTGGCCAAAATCAATTATTTTTGGAGCGGTTACATAACATTTGGTGAGAAAACTCTTTGGTGTTACAATAAAACATGAAAGATTTATACTTTTCCAAGTATAGCATTATTATGACTTGGAAACACTGTTCCTGGAAGGGAAATTTGTACATTGTAGCATTTTTGTTAGCGTATCCTGTTCGGAACAGAGAAGCAGAGACACATGGGAGAGACAAGGGCGAGAACCTCATGATATTTGAGAGAGGAGATCCTTTATACAGGAAGACATGAGCAAACAGAAGCAGAGCATCACTCAATAATCATACTACTGCTACATTTCAGATTTTGTGTATTGTGTTCAGTACATCATATCAGTTGTAAGTCTGGAGACACATTCGGCTAGATTTATGTTTTCAGGACTCCAGACTGTGACTAAATAGAAAAATGTGACTGGTTTTCTGCACTGATACAACTTTAGGTTTGCCCAACTCTTTCTGATTAAGCGCTGCCATGAAAAACACTTAGTCACAGTGTAATGAACAGGGCAGTGATGACCAAGTGCAACATGACGTGACCCATTTGAACTTTGTATAGAATTCTGCTTTACAAACCACTGTCAGACCGCCAAAATAACAGCACAGGTGAATGGGATAAAAAAAAAAAAGGGTCACACTTTATTTTAAGGTCCAATTCTCGCCATTAACATATCATTAACTATGACTTTTGCCTCTGTAAACTCCTAATTTGCTGCGTATTAATAGTTAGTAATGTAGTTGTTAAGTTTAGGTATTGGATAGGATTAGGGATGTAGAATATGGTAATGCAGAATATGTGCTTTATATGTACTAATAAACAGCCAATATTTTAATAATAAGCATGCTAATAAGCAAC